GGTGCCATGAAGGCCGACTAACGGTCCACCATGGATAACTAAACCAGTCAGGAAACTTCTTAGGAAAAGGAAGAATCACTGGAATATGTTCATCTCTACTGGCTTAGAACAATACAGATCCAGTTATCGTAAGATTAGGAATACCTGTACAGCGTTAATAAGACTGGGCTATCATACGAAAAACAATTGGTTAGGGATTCTAGATATAGTCCGAAACGGTTATTCTCGTATATAAAAAGGCGAACTAAGAGAAGCGATGGAATTCCATCACTTTTGATACAAGAAAATCCGTTAATCTTGGCCGAAAATGATGCCGAAAAGGCTGAAGCTTTATAGGAATGTTTTAGTAAAGTATTTTCTATCGGTAATGAGGAACGACCAACAATTCATCGTGACCGTGACAGCTCGATGATGGATCCTGTAGTCATTGAGTAAGGTACTGTTTAAAGGCTACTTCAGTATCTCAAACCTGATAAGTCCACTGGTCCCGATGATTTTCATCCTAGGATTATGAAAGCCATATCAGATGAAATTGCTGAACCATCAACGATACTATTTGTCATGTCTCTGAAATAGTCCAGACTGCCTAGAGACTGGAAAGACGCTATAATAAGTCCAGTGTATATGGCTGGGAGTAGGGATTTAGTTAGTAACTATAGACCCGTTAGCTTAACTAGTGTAGTTGTAAAACTGATGGAGAAAATCATTCGGATAGCTGTTATAAACTATGTTGAAGGGCATAATTTTTTCTCCAGGGCACAACATGGTTTTCGGAAAGGCCTATCTTGCTTGACAAATCTTCTCATTACGAGAAAAGATTGGGCTGCTGCAAAAGATCGGAATGTTCCTGTGGATGTGATTTTCGTAGATCTAAGTAAGGCCTTCGATAAGGTTTCCCACTATGGTCCTAAATTCAAACTGGAACGTTTTGGAATCCATTATACAGTCGTCGATTGGATAAGTGACTTCCTCCATGACAGAAGACAAAGGGTAAGGGTTAATGAGGCTCTCTCCCCGTGAGCACCTGTAAAAAGTGGGGTTCCCCAAGGTACAATCCTAGATCCTCTTCTCTTTTTACTTTATGTAAATGAATCGCCAACTGTAGCAAAATCATCCGTCCTACTCTTCGCTGATGACATAAAGATTTGGAGACCCATACATAATATGTTGGATAGAATGGTATTACAGGATGACCTTAGCTCATTGGTGGCATGGTTAGACAGGTGGCCACCAGAAGTAAATCCTAATAAGTGTAGTGATGCAGTTAAATAACTCTGACGAATCGTATCACTATACACTACGCTGATTCGTGCAACCCGAAGTAAGAAACTATAAAGATTTAGGAGTCATATTAAGCAATGATCTCAAAACCACTAGTAACTGTAAGGCTGCTGCTGCAAAAGGCTATAGGGTATTATGGTCAATTCGTAGATCTTTCCAGTATTTAGACGATGAATTGTTCAGATTATTATACCCGATTTTCGTGCGACCACATTTACAATATGGGATTCAAGCGGCGTGTCCTTGTTTCAAGTATGAAGCGGATATGCTGGAAAGAGTCCAACGACGAGGGACTAAGGTGGTAAAAGGTCTATCTGGCCTATCTTATGAAGGCAGATTGTGACACCTTAACTCATTTCCGTTATCTTACCGTAGAATACGGGGCGATCTAATATTGGCTTATCGTATACTGAACGATGACCTTGGTATTAATATGTCTTATCTCTTGCTTCCGTCTAGGACCGATCATTTGAGAGGACATTCGAAGAAAGTTCAAAAACCGAGATCAAACCGTTTACGTCTGGAGTTCCGTTTCTCGCACCGAGTAGTGAATTACTGGAATTCTACCGGAACACGTAATATCAGCACCTTCTATTAATATATTCAAAACGAGATTGGACCTCCACAGTATTACAAACTGAAAGGATTAATATAAGTCAATAGACCTCCTGTCCTTATTACTGAAGACTGAAGTAAGACGCCTACCATAGAAAAGATTGCTCAATGAGTGTGCGGCCATCATTCAAGTAAGAGACTAATGGAAGAAACTAAAGAATCAGAAACTCTTGGTAAACGAATATAGACCAGATTTGAAGGAAATATAGTGACGCATCCAACTTTGTACATAGAAAGGGTTGTTTATATACGACGAAAGAAGTCTGCAAGAAACAACGTGAGTGATTCTAAATAGATAAATATGATCGCGAATTAAACAAACCTTACCTAAACAGTGCTTTTTTCAGCTGCTACAGTCACTCTTGCAACACAGAACATGTAAGATTTATTAGTAAAAAGTATAAGGCATTCCGTCAGCTCAGATGCAACACTTTGTTCAACAAGTGAAAGATCTTCAAAACCGAACTAGCTTCAAACTGAGGAGCTGTCTGTTTAGGAGCATTAGGCCTTCTTAAAAATTAGGGAATCGTATATCAATCCTACCAAGCACCCGTCTATACAGTTAAATCATACAGAATCAATCAAGAAGATAATCAATCCCAGAATTCAAAGTGTTATGCAACACAAGTGTGGTGCAACAAATAACAACATCTAAGAGTTAGTCGCACTACAGAAATCCTGAGCAACTAAGTACTAATCAATGTGAATAAACTGGAATAAAAACAGAATATGCTTGGGTGCAGTCAACATCGGAAAATCAATATGTCTGAATAAAGAACAAAAGAATAGTCAAAGGTAAAAACACACACGGAGGGATTTTCTAATATATTGTTACGGCCACATGCAAACGGATTCTACAGTAAATTTGTAGGAATTTCCGGAGCGATATTGTATAGTACTCATGTCGGCGAAGATAAGTGTACAAAGGAAATATGACTAGATTGTTAGGAATCCCAAAAGTCTAAGTTTGCTGGGGATGCCGGACGAATGGCTAGGGAAAGTTCAGAATTGAGCGACTTCGCTAACTACCAATAGGTCTTAAATGGTTACGAGGTATGACAACTACAATCAGAATGACTAGGTAATGCATCGAGATAAACTGTGTTGACCAGTTGTATATTCCATACAAAATTTGCATCAAACATGCTGTTTTACGCGTTTCATCAACTGGCCTTTTGGTTTTTCTAAGCACCTAGCAAGATCATAATAGTGAATGTGGCTTCCTTAAGTTTCAGCAAACTAATTGGTTAAGCCATATATCTAAGGAATCGTTCCGTTGTCGTAAATTCCCGAAACATCACTAGTAAACATACTAGGTGTGTAGTGGCAGTGGAACCTAATCACACGACCTTTAAATCCGGGCATACAATTTCTGAAAAGATTTATATTCAACAATTGACACTAGAGGAAGGGTAAAAATGGTGAATGTGGAAACAGTGATTAATTAATCGGATGACATGGCTTAGCGTTTCAAGAGTGGTCATTTTTTCATATTTTATCTCTTTCAATCATATTAGATATATTGTTCTATCTTCAGCCTAAATGTGTTCATTAGAATCTCCGACCATTATATTGCTGGTTGTTACGGTACGACGAGTCAAAATGGACAAAGATGTGACTTTCATAGATTAGGTTTCTACATCATGACAAATCTAAAATTTTGGGATTTGGTCTTTTATCGCAGCAGTAATAATAACGAACTAGACAATAATACTACAGATGTGATGTAGCGGTCGAAATTGAGACCGAGCGCCGTCATCTAGTACGTGAAGCTGATGAGGTCGGCACGAATGTCGAAGACTTACAGAGCTATTGATTCTGGGGATCTATTCACCACCACAGTATCTAGACCGACACCGGATTCTTTCTGCAAAGCAGTACGGTTTTAAAACAGGTTACTCATTTCCTACGAACTTGTTGGTGGCCCATAAATCTTGGGGCCCCTTTGAAGTTTACATGTTACCTACAAACTCAGCCTTCATCGTCTTCAGAAAGGCTTTTGACAAAGTCCCACACAACCGCTTGTTATCTAAATTAAGTGATATCTGGATGAAATCCTATTTACTTTTTATACATAGTTCGTTCGTACTAAACTCGAGTATTGTGTACAAACAGCTAGCCCTCGCCTAAAAACAACAGTGAGCTGTTGAAAAAGGTTTAAACAATCGCAAGTGTGTTGATTTCCGAGATCACTAATCTCTCGTATGAAGAGAGCCTGTCTAAATAAAACCTGTAGCCATTGTCATGCAGAAGGACAAGAGGTGACTTCATCATAGATTTTAAGTTACTTTCTGCTAAATTCACATCTGATATGTCATAATTTTTTGTTTTCCAAAACAGAGCATTTACGAGGACTCTCTAAAAAAGTTCACAAGTCCGGAACAAATCACTCGTTAGCTGACTATCGACTTTCCCATCGAATCACCAACGAGTGGAACTCGTTACCTTGACACGTGAGTGAAGCTTCATCTGTCCATACACTCTAAGGAAGATAAGTCAATCAAGAGGCCACCATTGCTTAGACTCATACAGGCCACCCAGCCTCCTGTCCTTTCCAGACTGAAACTGATCAGGACTTAATCCTCCAAGTGTTAAGTGGCCTTCTGATCGTAATTAAACACTTAGTGCGATAGAAAATAAGGATGACTCAGTACATTTATGACCGAATAAGACTGTTCACTGTTAATCATATTCAGCCCCTATGATGTTGCTACAGACATTGTATATTGAAATTTGTTTCACTTGATCTACAAGGAACTTAGGGGCTCTCGATTTAGATCCCTTCACGTTGGTGTTGTGAGAAATGAGCAGGGTGCCTAAAGTTTTTGGCAAGACCTATGCGACTCCGCGGAGACCGTTTGAAAAGGAGCGTTTGGACCAAGAGTTAAAGCTCATTGGTGAATATGGTCTGCGCAACAAACGCGAAGTATGGAGAGTAAAATATGTCTTAGCCAAGATACGTAAGTCAGCCCGCGAGTTGCTGACACTGGATGATAAAGACCCCAGACGGCTTTTTGGAGGTACCAGTTTTACTTTGTCCTTCATTTTAAGGGTCCGCTCTGCTGAGACGCTTAGTTCGAGTTGGTGTACTTCCCGAAGATAAGATGAAACTGGATTTCGTTTTGGGCTTGAAGATAGAAGACTTTTTAGAACGAAGACTTCAAACTCAAGTTTTTAAACTTGGTTTGGCCAGAAGCATCCATCATGCCAGAGTCCTCATCCGCCAACGGCACATAAGAGTAAGAAAACAGATGGTTAACTGTCCTGGGTTTCTGGTACGTTTGGACTCAGGAAAACACATAGAATACAGTACAACATCTCCATATGGTTGTGGTCGCCCTGGTAAGCTCACCTACAGTATTTTCCTAATTCTTCAGGTCGCGTCAAAAGGAAAAAGGAGCGTAAAGCCCAAGGTGGTGACGACGAGAACGGAAGTGATGAAGAGTGATTATTAGCTTCAACGGAATAAATATCGAACTTGCATGATTTTGTTCTTAGTAGTTAAGTTTGGAAAGCAGTCAGTTAGGCCCGTGGTTAGTCTGATCCTCAAGGTTAGTTATTCAGAGAATGATAGTGTGCTGGGGACATGCATTTGCATTGTTTCACAATGCTGTCAGCCACGTGTGATTCTGCCACTAGTTAATGAGTCGTGTAACGTTTTACTACATGGTGAAGTAATCAGTATTCACATTAACACATGATGAACAATGCTCGCTGTCCTTCACCGTTGGTGCGTAGATTTCTAGCCAACCAGGATCGATGCACCAAATCCGCGCAGACTATTCCGGTGTCATCACTGGTCGTCCTTACTTCCGCTGAAGTCATGTGGTTCCTGACATGCCAGTTTTCTTTTAGAACATGATTCCGCGGACCACGACTGTTGTTCTGTGCCTCTTCTGAATTGGCGAGCGATTCTAGTGCGTGATAGTGGAGTGATGAATCTTAAGGGTTTGGAGGTGTTACGGCCTCAAATCTCTTAATAGACAGGGTCAGGGGGACCGTGTGTCTTTCGGGATTGCTGCTAAGAACAGGGACTGGTATACCAGCCGCGTGTAACCATGCTTATTTACTCTTCGTGATGTTCCTAGTTTGTCAGCGAAGTCCTCGGCTACTTTACGATAGGTGAGGATAATATCCTTGTGCGTGCAAGCCCCCAGCTGCTCGGTTGATGTGTTTGCTGTATGGAGCCTGGGATTCGTTTGTTGCAGTTCATTTTTTATGACTATGCAGTACATATAATGAAGTGCGGATCAAATAAAAACTACCGAGCCACAACATGAAGTCCTGGGCGTTTGTTATCGCCCGGTACCTATCAAAATGAAGTTGTTTCTCTCTAGTCCGATCCCAGTTGCTCACCTTAGTAATTAGTTTTTCATTCAGTAGACATTGTAGGTCACTTGAGTATGCTGCTGGACATAAAATGTGGTGTTTCGATGGAAGTTTGTGATGAACATTCTCAGCCCCAGCCTGGGTGCAGCTAAGCGATGTTCTGGGGTTACATCTTACTTTATCGTTATGTTGTTCACTAACACACGCGTGTACGATTTGGAAAAGGGGTAGCTTTGCGTATGTGCTTCTGTGAGGATGTTGTTACAACAGTGGCTGGGAGAATACGGGTGCGTCAGCACTCGTTCCTCTATATCAGCTCAGGTAACCGAGTGATTTCTATCGTTTGTTGACCAGGTGTTTCGTCATTCATTTCGTTAATATGGATTACAGCCGCAAAACTGCGAAGTCTTTTGAAAACATATGTGCGTTGTCTAACATTTGAATTGAGCTCTACGTTGGTGTGCGTCTCACTGTGATTTTCTTGACACTTCTGTTATCGGCTTATGTAGACTAGTTTGTCACGACGTCCAATGCGGAGTAGTGTTGGAGACGGCTGAGAGAAAGTTAGAGGTGGCCAAACCAAGACTTGGCATCAGTCATTGAAGTCATCAACTTCCAGTCTGAGCCATGTTGATACATGCAGACTACTTGTCTTCTCTTTAACCTTGATATTACAACTAGTTTATTTCTTCCTGTGCACAACCAGTCTTTTATATATTACTACCATTGAAGAAACTACCTCTATGAATTTGATGTTCTACATGTGCTAATGAGGTATGACAACCTAGACCAATGCATACACGTGCCCGGTCATACATTGCAGCTAACTGACCGACAGTTAGAATCCATTTGGCCTGTACGCTCCCCTAGCATGTTGTCTCCTAACCTTGTATATTTCATGGTCAATGTGACATTGATTAGTTTCCTAACGACTTCATTGGCAACATCACAGATTTAACCGGGGTGCTAAATGAAGTGTGTCTGGCCGATGTAAGCTGTATGCGAATTCAGTGGGATGAGCGAATGAAGTCTCTCCAACAGTTGATAAGTGAGTTGTCCTACTGTGTAGTGGGAAGATATATCACGCATGTAGAAGTGCTGACATTGAAATAAGACTCGACTGTGTCCACATCTAGTAGTTTGGAATTTTCAATAAATACAGCATAATGGACTAAACATGGTAAAGTATTAGTAGTGCAATAGGAAAGGAAACAGGCATCATAATGATTCGGATCCACATCGTTTGTCGCTACTTCGATGAATTTATTGACGAATTAATTGTCACCAGTGATTTCACAGCTGTGAGTTCGGATGACAAGCTAGCAATCGAATCAAACTTGATTTGAGAACAGCTGTAAAACCAAACTCGTAATGAGAATTACAATTTTGAATTGGAGTCAGCTAAATATATGTTGTGGAGCTTATTCGCGCTACAGAGTAACGGTTGCAAATTGAACTTATCTTAAACTGACGTTAGCACAGGATTTCTTCGTATCACGACAATTGTCACTGTACCATCTGTACGTCGACGTTCATTTATATATTGTTAGTCGTTTAGTGTAATCTAATATCGAAATAATAATAATAATCTCAGGTACGTCTCATGTAATTAAGTCGAGTATCGTTTATTTTATGTGAGTCTGATATTAGTTGTGCTGTCAATTGGCGGTACCTGGTATCAATCAATCAGCACGCGCAAAGATTCGTTTTTTGTAATGAGATAGAATGTTTCTTATTTACAAGTTCAGTGATTATATTTAGTTTTTTCCGTATTAATTAGAATATTGACTAGTATCTCTTTTTCTATATGCTCGATAACAGCACTAGGGATTTATGTGTCCGGGATTAAAACAAACCAGCAAAACAAGACAAATGTATATTTTAATTAGTTTTGGAAATAAAAACCAAGCTTTCATGTGTTTATTTTTAATGAACAGTAGCACGGATAGCTAATAATCACCAAACGGATCCACAAGCGGCGTATTCAGTTTCATTCACTTGAACCTAAAATTAGAGTTTATTAGTATGCAGTGAGAACGAATTTCGGATAATTAAAATGAAAGACGACAGATAACATACTTAAAGTAATTTGGGGTTCTATTCCTGTAGGGACAATGGAACATTTTTGATCAACAGCTGTTGAAGCATTCTCGTTGGCGTTGCATGGAACCAAAGCTTCTTCTGTTTTTAATCCATTCATAATCTATAATAAAATTATATGGAAATTATTAGATTTGAAAAAAGCACCGAAAACCAGTTCGTTATAGAAAGCGAACAAAATGGTAAGACTGCACTAACCGATCAGACAGATCTACACAGTAAAAAATAAATAAGTGAGAAATTCTTTAGAAGCCATGTGCAATTCAAGATTAAGATGTTTGATTGACTGTTATTTCTAAATTACTGAGCTACTTGCATCGATAAAGTCAGCTTTTTTTAAAACGAAACCAAAAATTACCAAGACCTTAATTCGAACAGACGTGCGTCATACATATTTTGAGGAATAGTGGTCATACAGGTGACGTTCACACTCAGGAAATTTGAAAGACTTGCTTTTTTCCGCTAAGACAGTGTATATAGCCTGAGAATGTTGATCTTACAAATATAACATTTGATAATGATTTTATTCGGTCACTGAAAGTTACTAAAGTTCAAAAACTCGGATGATAAAAATCGAAAATAAATTATGTAGATTGGTTACGATAAATAGTTTATAAGGGCTAAGTAACGAGAAAGAACAACCTACTGAGAATAATATCAGTAGCGCTGCATACTGACAGAAAACACCGACTCTTATGCACATTAAAATTCAAGTTTCAGGTACTTTCACAAAACATGACGACTGTAGGTAACACTATGACCAGTGCAACATGGTAAAATATCTTTAGAATCATAAGCGGATGATCGATACAAAGATGAAACAGTAGTAATCAGATTAAGACGGTTAAAAAGAGGACCAATGTCACTTTTATTTACACACTTACATATTCTGAAACATCGGAACTGACGTTTGGAACCATAGTAGTTTGTTCACACACATTCTTGACTGTAGCAGAATCAATTTCCGCAACTTTAGGAACATTTCCTTCCTGTAGTGAAATAAATTAATTGAATAAATTTGCAAAAATGTGAAGAAGTCTAAAAAGAAAAAAATCTTACGTTCAGCGAATCAGATAATGACAGATCGTTTTTAAATGAATCTGAAGTATTAAGTTTCTTTGTAGACTTGACAGATTCCTTGTTACTAGATACTGAACAAGGTGACAATGAACGCTTGAGTTGTTTAGATGACTCATTAACCGAGTGACGAATATAAAAACGACTGGATGCTTGTCGAAGTGCCGATCGACAGGCATCAAGAACAGACGCCTGTTGCTCCAAAACACGAGCTAGAGAGTCAACTTTGTCCCGTTCATCCCTATATCGTCTTCGATAGTCCTCCATACTTGAAGAAGTTCTCGACAACTTATCTTTCAGTTCCGAGAAGTCCGCAACAGATTCACGTAGACGGGCTGCAAAAAATGTAAAACACAGATAAAACGACCACGTGACATTTTGTCAGTCATTTAAATGTAACGTAGAGCACGACACGTATGCATTAATTCTATTTGCCACGTTATATGAACACAATGAGAATAAACATGTAAGGATAAATATCAGAATGATGGTGGCATAACATATATCAGAAGCGCTAGACGGAGTTAAATACAAAGGAAACAATGTTAGGATTTATCGGGACACGAGGTGAGACAAAAACAAGAAGAATACATGTGTCTGCGCGTCCACAAACGATGATGAGTCATAACAACATTAGGTTCAGTATGGGAAACGCACCTCTTACATGCTAACGTTGTTTTCCAAGTCAATTATAAAACTGAATTTTGTCAGCTTCTTCATCAAACAGAACTATGCCATTTGCGTATTTCAAGTCATTAGCCGAACATCCTGGCAGGAGATCGACCCCCGGAAAGTCAATTGGAGAAAATATTATTTCCAGAAGGATATCAATGATAAAATCAAATAAAAATGGAGATAGTGGACTCCGACTCGATCAACTGTGTTTGAATAGAAAGCCTTCACAAGGTCTTGGTACGCCTTTCAATGAAAGACACTCAAAAACTCGCCGATCTACGGAGTTGAACGTGGCCGCCTTAAGGTCAGGAGATACAACCATGCTTGCGAGTTAGTTGGTATATTTGTGTTCCAGAGTCTGGCGAAGAGCGAATGTTTGGTTTACACAACCACGTCTAAGTCTGAAACCATCTTGCTTTCCTCGAGTTTACTCCTCATAAACCTTAGATAACCGTCATATGATTAATGAGGTTTATATTTTAGACACTATTAATTAATCTGATTCCTTTGTGGTTACAACAAGAGGATCTTTGTTCTTTCTTATAGACTGGAACGATCAGTGATTGAAACTAGTCAGGTGGAATTAAATCTACTTTCCCGACTCTAGCCAAGATCCCAGTCAATCTAATGGCCATAATTGGAACATCACCCTTAGAGATCTCCGGGTTATTACATTAGGGAATACTCCTTTGTCTCGGTTTAGATTAGGTATAGCTTTTTTTTACCTCTTTAAGAGTTGAATGGCTTGTGCTGATATTCTAGGTTGCTTGGTAAAAGTGGGTAACCGAAGGGTAGATGCAGAGTAGTTAAACTGTTCTTCAAAGTGTCTAGCCCACCGTTCTGGCCTCCTGGGTTGAGAGTGGATCATTGTTCAATGTTTTCTAGTTGTTCTTGACGGGTACTTTTTAACGTCAAGCTGAACTTAAAGAGGTCAATTGTGTTTCATTACGGCGTCCAGTAAGACGTAGGCAATAGGGTATTTGCACTAGAGCATAGCGTTTAAACTTGTGCTGAGGAAGACGTTTATCGAGCACATCTATACAGTCTACAGTATGAATTAGGCCTGAGACTTTAAGTTACTGAATTTAGAATTACCGTTCTTCGACCGATCTGCTTGGAATGACAGGACGTATTAGAGGCATAAGTGTTAGGGCCAATACTGTCTGATTGGTTCATTAAGATTCAGTATGTGACGAATCAATACATATCTAATTATTCGATAAAACTGTATATATAGAATCGATAGAGACATACCAATTTCCTGTTCTTGAAGTCGGATTTGAGTCATCAGTTTGGAGTGTTCGCGTTCTGACGTTCTTATATGACCGAGATATTCCTCGGGATGGATAGCCTGAGAATTAAATGATTCGCCAGACTTTTGAAGTACAACGATGCTAAAAATAAGACAATACGTAGTTGATAACACAATAGTGAAAATACCGAATAATGCACAGTAGCAAATAAATCAATAGCGCGAATATTCCGCCTGGTGGGCTTAAATATGATATGGTAGATGGGAAATTTACAAAACTGAACTAAAGAGATTCAGGAAATCGACAGATAACTAAAATAAGCTACAAAAAAAACTAACCTTCCGCTAGGTTGCGCATCTATTTGGTCGTCTAAAATAGCATCACCTCCACGTACAAGTTCCAGTAAATATTCATCATCGTCTATATCGGAGAATATAACAGATGATTTATTCGCTAAAGAAAGAGGTTCTTCTGAATCCGTCAAGGAACGGTAGTGGAAACGACCATGATCAAGAACTTTGTATATGAGAGATCGAAGCTAAATAAGAAAAACAGTAATAGGCTTATAAACATCTGTGGGTTGAAAACTAGGAAAAACGATGTTACAACAACAAAAAAAGGTAAGCGGAAAAGCAGGTATACGACAGTCACTAGGTTGGTCTAAATGTACAAGTGTACTTTGATATAATTTCCTGCAGATGGACCCAAAGGTTTAGCTTATTTTTACACCTCTAGTATAGAAGCACGGAGTGTGGTCCCCTAAAGAAAACAATCGCCTCAATTTGGGTGCCAGGGCAGTATCCTAGCCCATGTACAAACCAAATGATGATTACAACCATAATAGATTATCCTAACACTAACTAACAATCGTTTTAATTTTACATTTTTTCACTTGTCTATTCCCTTGTTCTAAACTCATACAACAACTCGCACACGGTGAAGATTCTGTCCTGTTTCAACAACCGCAAATCACTGACTAACTGGTTAAAAGTTAAATGCTACCAGACTTACTGAAATTACGTGTGCCATTCAAAATGGATTTCTTTAAGCGGTCGACACGCTCAACTACTACAGTCAACCTTTTCTAACCCCGTCCTTTCTTGTGAGAAAGTAGCATCGCTGCAGATGCTGGTTGCCCGAAAGGAAACACCTTACTGCTGTCACCCTCCTACAGTCGGCAGTAAGACTTCGCCCTCAGACTTTGAGTTGCTGCTTTTACACTTACCGTCCTCCAATCGACCACCCTGGCATGGTAGAACCTACAGGAACATATGTTCCAGCGAATACAGCTCGTCTGAATCATCACGAAAAGGCCAGCCCGACCACCGCGGTCGACGGGTGGGGATAAATCGACTTCTGATCGCGTCCAAATTATTGGCTTCGGTCTTACTTCGCAGATTGTTCAAAACACTCCCAAACGCCCTGGTACAGGTAGAGGGTGGGGAGAGCCAGCTCTCACGAAACGCTCATACAGCTACTCGTATAAAGTCATTGCCACGGATGTCCTACCAAGTGCCTTATTGCGGCGGTGTTATCTACGAGACTGATAGGATGAAAAGCGAATATACGGGTTGGCAGATACGGAAGATCCACCTAGGGAAGTTGGATAACACTAATTCTAAACCAATGGTGCATATGGGCTCGAGGTTCCTAAGGGAACAAATCGCGTATGAGCCTATCGTTGGTCACAAGCTACCATGGGACTGAATCTCTCAACGTTGCGTCGCTGCCTCGGGAATTAGACCTGTCTGTTGTGTATCTGAGGTCCACATTCAAGACTAATGAATTATTACACACTCACTACATCTGTCGCTTTGAAAAGCTTGTTCCGCGTGCGCTTTCGCAGGGACCTTGTGATATATTTGCCTGGTTTTACTACTTGTCATTATTTCATTCATACACTAGTTCCCACTTAATGATCTTTCATATCATACTTTACTTTTGCGACACGGTTACAACCTTAACTTTATTGTGGCGCACATATATTTAGTGTCCCTTTGTATCAGTGTTTTTGTGTTCAAATAAATAAACAACACTGGTGGGCGCAAGAAGGCAAGACGAACTATAATATAGACGCCCAGTTGTTTTAGACAGATGAACAAAAGTTGATGAATCTGACTTGAAGGAAGCTTCACGAAGTACTATTTTAGAGCATACAAGGGTCAGACAGAGCCTCCATACTAAGATCGAAAATATTATCGGAGAATGACTGAAGACTGGGACGACTAGCGAGGACAAGCATGACATGACTATGCTTAGACTCATAAGCTTAACAAGCCTAAAACACCAAACTACCACCTAAAAAGAAAAGTCGAGTTGGCCAGCTAATTGGTATGGCATCAAGTCAGATATGATGTTATAAACTTGAGTGGGATGACATGTCCTAGGAAGAAGTGAGATCTCGTAGTTATCATTATGATGAAACATTTACTTGAAGTAACAGCGGTTTCGCGTTATACCAGTCTTAACCGAGAAATGCTACTTCCTTACACCAGTGACCTGATAGTACTACTGTAAGTCCTCAAGGCCACAAGCCATGAAACTAGTCTATTGCTGGTAATGTTACTAAGCATTTGCAATCTAACAGCATAAATTGTTTTTAGGTTATAAGGTGCGGCAATTATCTATTAATAGTTAGGAATAATTGCTTCTTCAGTAGATAATTAAGCTTATCAGTAAAAAAAAGTCGGAAAGTCTACCTGGAAAGTTGTAAGGTATTGAGGCTGAAAAGGTCGCAGTAATGGGAATGATTCTTGCCAATTGCATCTAACTCGATACAAGTCAACTGGCGGGAGAACATTAGGGAAGCGTCTTTGTAGGTCTGAGAACAAGTATTCTTTCACATTCAGCATACGTTTGGGGTTGATCGGAGTCCTTATTTTCTTATTACGTATCGCATATATTTTTTGATGTCTCTGAATACCAATGTTCGTATGTTTAAATGAAATGAAATAAACTAACCAAAGCGTAATCAGATATTTATAGGCCGCGGAAAAAGTGAGTAATAATATCCAAATAAATGTTGGACATGTACAAGAAAATTTAACAACCATTCCGTTAAGTGAAAACTAAAAACGACCGCTCACCTGATATCGAGAGATAGGCAAGCCTAGTGAAAGAATGAAGTCCTCGACCTCCGACGAGAGGAAATAACTCTTATAGCTTGTATCCAGTACTGTGCATGCAAAAAGCAATGGTAGATCGGTCGTATACAATGGAGTTTCCTTAAATTCCTCGTCTTTTGCCAGAGATGTCCTTTCATTACGCTCTAAACGAGCACGTTTAGCTACATAATCTGGTTCACTAAGAAAAAAGGAATTGTTGAAAGTCTCCCCCAGAGTATAATACAATAGTTAAAGCAGTGGAGACATTAATGAATGAACAAGTTTTGGAACAAGAGGTAACACAACATAAAACGGTAACTAAATAATACAGATTTAAAAATACCTGCGTTTCCTAGGTTTTGCGCAAATTCCTCTATCTGCAGCCGTAACAAGGGCACGAAATAAAGTGAATACGGAATCTCTGCGAAGCATGTCAAATATTGTGTGGATGCAAAACATGAATTCATATGATCTACAGTCCATAAAATCAGATTTTGAATCCATGACAACCTTTAAGTACAACAATGTGAGAAGTGAATGCAAAATGAAACATATAATATTGATCCAAGTTATATCAGGAGTTAATACTGACGAAATTTCTTAAATGGACGTAGTACTATTTAGAAATGATACGAGACTTACCATAACTTTCGTTATTCGGCAGCCGACTTGAAGCCTCAGAACGCTCTGTTCTACCTTCAACTATTGTATAATGTAAATTATTCAGTTGACAACCGATTAAAATTCAAATGTGACAACTTGAATTGATGCATACATATGTGCCAGGCTCTAAATTGAACATGACTGATTGACCGAACAGAAGCTATGGGTTGATTCATTATTTAAAATGAAGAAGCTTGAGTGACGTAATGCTAAAGGTTACTACGAGTAAGATGGTATATTACCCAAACTATTGATGCCTCCTCTTTTAGTTTTGTGGCAAGTATTATAGACACAACATCATTAAGGTTTATGCAAACACTTATTGTTGACGAGCAGTTTAAATTAATTCGTATGAAAGAAACGAAAAAACTAAGGTCAATTTGATGGCCTGATAAGAAATACAGAGGAAGCTATAAAATATCTACTTACATCAAGCCCAACTGACTGTACGGTGAAGTCGACAGTTTTCTTGCGTAAGATTATTATTGAAGGGAGATCACGGAGAGTCAACTTAGGTGCATCCGTCCATGGTTTAGATCCAGACTCCGTATTTGAAGGTTTTATTTGTTCTTCTGAAACTTGAGGTGACTTATCAATAGTCACAGACTGTAATGTTTTTTCCTGCTCCATTTCTGAAAGTGTAGGTCAGGAAAATGTATAAACTTAAGGGATTAGAGAATATAATTAGATGAATACACAAGCATCTATTTGTGAAATGATTTACTTTCTTTTTCAGCCTTCTTAGCCGACTCCTTTTCTTCTTCTTCTTGGATTGCCGTTTTGAGACGAGTCAACAACTGAGCTCTTACTCCCTCAGTAGGCAAATTACGAGCTTTTAACTGTTCACGCAGTTCGGAAACCTACGAAAGTCATTAAATATCAACATTTATTTTTCGAGTATTTTAATTCAAGTAGTAAAATAGAAAACCAAAAATGCACCATACCAATAAAGTGATAATACTGTAGGAAAACGAAAGTATATGATGATACAGTTTATTTAAAAGTCGATAGAGACTACATTTAGTTAAGTTTATTTAGCTTTTATGAAGGATTTAAGCGAAAATGACAAGTGGATATGTACTGACTTTTATTCTGTGTTAGTTACGCAACCTGCAAGGCCCGAATAATAGTTTTGGATCAACAGATAAACACTATATACCGGTCGCGTTCGCTTTTTCCACTCAGTACAATCGCCCAGGAAGTCCATGGAATGACATCTGCACAATATAACCGAGGCAGTACAGTCAGTGTTTTGAGAATAATCCCAAGTGGTCTGAACACACATTGCCGAACCTCGTTTATTACTAATAAAGTTACTAACTGACGCAAACAAACCATTATGGACGACGATGACCGAGAACAGAAAGTGACTGAATGTCCTCAGCTAAGAAATGCCAGGCTTTAAAAGGATAAAAAATGAACTCGTAAACGCTATCATTTTAGAGCGACTACAAGTGACCTAGATCGGGATACTCCGTCCTACTTTTCAGTATAAGTATATTGATCTTATTATCAACTTAACACTTAATTACCCGAATGTTTCTAATGGAATGCGAGTGCAGACATAGGTTCTTGACATAAGAATTATTTTGCGTTCTGAAAGTGCAAAGTACATTCAGTAATTACGAACACCAACTGTTAGCTGAATGGGAACTTGGGATACATGGTGTATTATTGCACTGTACCATAATGGTACTGGCACTCGAAATCTTGAAGTAACAAATGAACGCCTCCACTACGTATTTCCAAAGATGTATTCAGAATGTTATTGATGATACGGTTGAGAAAGGTGAGACTGGACGTTTTTATTAGGTTGGGAAAATAGAGGCGGTTATATCTTTTCACTCTGCTCGAGGTTGTTGAGTACAGAGCCTCTAAAAATTAATATACATTTTAAGTACAACCCGATGACGAGACAATTATGGTAACCAGCCATGTTTAAAAAACTATATAAGCTTATTATGTAAAAAAAAACAGATTGTTGTCCATGACTAAGAGTGGCGTCTTTAGTATATCAGATTAAAAGCAGAGACTACTGGACTTATGGATGTTCAATTTTGAAGGCTTTAGCACAAAACTGAGTATGCCAACCAATGATGCAGTGAGGGAAACGCATCACTTACATGCTAACGTTGTTTTCCAAGTCAATTATAAAACTGAATTTTGTCAGCTTCTTCATCAAACAGAACTATGCCATTTGCGTATTTCAAGTCATTAGCCGAACATCCTGGCAGGAGATCGACCCCCGGAAAGTCAATTGGAGAAAATATTATTTCCAGAAGGATATCAATGATAAAATCAAATAAAAATGGAGATAGTGGACTCCGACTCGATCAACTGTGTTTGAATAGAAAGCCTTCACAAGGTCTTGGTACGCCTTTCAATGAAAGACACTCAAAAACTCGCCGATCTACGGAGTTGAACGTGGCCGCCTTAAGGTCAGGAGATACAACCATGCTTGCGAGTTAGTTGGTATATTTGTGTTCCAGAGTCTGGCGAAGAGCGAATGTTTGGTTTACACAACCACGTCTAAGTCTGAAACCATCTTGCTTTCCTCGAGTTTACTCCTCATAAACCTTAGATAACCGTCATATGATTAATGAGGTTTATATTTTAGACACTATTAATTAATCTGATTCCTTTGTGGTTACAACAAGAGGATCTTTGTTCTTTCTTATAGACTGGAACGATCAGTGATTGAAACTAGTCAGGTGGAATTAAATCTACTTTCCCGACTCTAGCCAAGATCCCAGTCAATCTAATGGCCATAATTGGAACATCACCCTTAGAGATCTCCGGGTTATTACATTAGGGAATACTCCTTTGTCTCGGTTTAGATTAGGTATAGCTTTTTTTTACCTCTTTAAGAGTTGAATGGCTTGTGCTGACATTCTAGGTTGCTTGGTAAAAGTGGGTAACCGAAGGGTAGATGCAGAGTAGTTAAACTGTTCTTCAAAGTGTCTAGCCCACCGTTCTGGCCTCCTGGGTTGAGAGTGGATCATTGTTCCGTGTTTTTCAAAGTCTCAGTAATTGGCGAATTCTTAATATGTTTCTTTGAAAAATTTGTAAAGTTGTTTCCCATCGCGTATTGTCATTGCCGTTTTTTAAAATTTCGATTTATCGGCACACCAATGCTCATGACCGTTGTGTAGGCTTTCTCCCAGTCTACGTTTAAGTTGCGTTCGCTATTTATCGTGTTCGCAGCCTGACAAATCTGCGAGCATCAATGGAACAGAACTCTACAGTCCGAGCTAAGGAAGTCTGTTGACAAAATATTTGATAATGGCTATCATGTAAATTAGAGAGCGGTTTTAAGAGACCAGGTATAACATCTCATGGAGTTAAATAATTAGCATTGTTGGTGCATAGTGATTAATAGCAAGAAGTCAATAATCATAGTTGTAAACATTTTACTAACTGTCCCAGCGAAATATGTATTTAAGAGAAAGGTTGCATTCATCAGCAATTGCAAAATCTAGATCTAGACATTGTCAGAAACTTGAAATGGAACATGGAAATTTCAAGCTCGAAAATTCCCCATTATTCTGAGCGGTACGATAAAGTTTATGCGAATTGATAGAAAGAATGTGAACGAAAGTATTGCACAGGAGTATAAATTTTTTTTAAAAAAACGAACGTGCTTGTGCTTATGATTGTACTGGCTTGAAACCACTGCATGTACTGCTCCAAAATATTATAGTGACAATAAGAAATGGAATGAGAGATGTAAATGTGCTTACCTTCATGCTAGCTAAGTTAAGTTCTGTATGAAGCTTTTTCTGGCATTTATCAGTTCCCTGACGGAAAAAACAGATAAACATAACAGTTACTATGATACCTTGAAAGTTGTTTGCATTATCATGATCGTAAATAAATTACGGACTTTATATGAAAATTAAATGACTAAATGCTAGATATACTGTAGGAACATAATATGACAACAGTAAGTTAGGTAGCAACCTCCTGATTTGGATTTCCTTGAGCTGCTAAATCCACAGATTCGGACCCATCCTCTGTCTCGGAGATAATTGCTATTTTTGGAACAGTTTCCTGACCAGCCAAATACGGGGTAGAGCGATGGAATTCAACAGGCGCTTGAAGGGTTGACTTGTTGCCTTCATCCATTTTAGACACATTGGAATCTTCATATGCATTGTCTTGAGTAGGTGATTTCAGTGAATTTGAATCCAGTTCAATCGCCACATTAAATTTCCCGTCACCAGTTCCCTTAAAAGCAGATTCTAAACCAGAAAACTTCTTCAAGTTGGAAGGAGTCATTGGAAATACGTTAGGTTCTTTTGAAGCCAAGATATTTTCATAAGCCAGCTTTACAGTCGACCATTCTTCGTCTGTAGGCATGAGTGACCAAACATTTGGAATAAAATATACGACAATTTGATGAAATGGTTTGCTTGGAGGAATCATATCAGATTCAGGAGATTCTGTGACGGGTCGACCCCAAAGTTGAGAGCCAGGAAATAAGACTGAGGTTGGTTGGGCAGTTGAACCTTCAGTACGACTATAGCGGAACTCCAGGAAACGGTGCCTGGGGAAAGTGGACAGGATGATAACAACAGTAAACGCGACGTCGATCAAAGGAACGCGTAAGACCCATATTGTTTGATATTTGTATATAAACAATATAAGGAAAGTTAAAAATTAGACAGATAAATTATCAAGCTATGCAATGAGGTTGTGAAAACATTAGGATCGATTTAAAATCAAAGACGCTATAGTGAGCACTTATGACCTGACTGTTTTATTGTTGGGCAGACTTAGAGAAATAAGTACTTAACAGATATAAATTTATTTATTTCAATGGAGATTTCTCTGAGTTTTTGTACGAAGATCAACGCACAATCCAGAAGAATTAGGCATTTGAACTGACTTACTAGTGAATGTGGAGACAGCTTATTTACTCTACACAACCGTTTATAGATACGGAAGAACAGTAGTCAAGATGGTAGGTGACATTTCGTTAACAATAAAATGATTATGAGCAATGGGACTAGATTTGGATACTACAATATACCTGCTTAAGAATAAACTGCGAAAGACTGACCAGAAACATAGATCACAAGTTAAAACTGAGTAACATACCACTGTGTGCAATACGATAAATCGAGACCAATAAGTTGTTTACAATTACGAATAGCCGTGTTGACAAGAGTTTGAGGATTTGTAGCTGGGTCTGGCCCGTCTAAATCACGACTCCACGAACCTCCAATAGCCTTGAGTCTTTCATCAACCTTTCCAGCAGCTAGTATCTTGATGTACTTACGTAGTGAGCCGCGTACACGACTAGGCGACTCTGCTCGGACAACTATCTTCTCCATTAGTTCTGCCATTGCCGGGAGTGACAAAAGTAAGACATACGCAGCAAAACCACTATCATTGTTGTAAGAATGATGCACATCGTCACAAGCGTCTTCAGGTTCTTTAATTATCTACATGATGAAAAAATGAAAAAAGGCTTTTGCCAACGAATAAATTTAAAACAAATTGAAAGTATTTGTATTTATATTATCTTGAATTATCAGCACAATAATAGCCATATGGCCTACTTAGGGTTGAGAACTAAGTTCGAGATCAAGTATGTTAACGAAGCACCTAAATAAAATTTATAAGGCATGTAGCAACCAGTCGATAAAACGTTTGTTAGTCGACTGATCAGATTCAATTTGGGATTTACACCTAACTTCATATTTAACAACACCGTGCAAAAAGTATTAAATACTTAGTCAATAACTAAATCTCTACAGAAGTTTTCTACTTTAACATGCTGGATAAAATAAAATAGTTTAGTATCTTGTCTACATCACAAATGCTATGGTACAGTAGAGACTGGGGAGAGCCAGCTCTCACGAAACGCTCATACAGCTACTCGTATAAAGTCATTGCCACGGATGTCCTACCAAGTGCCTTATTGCGGCGGTGTTATCTACGAGACTGATAGGATGAAAAGCGAATATACGGGTTGGCAGATACGGAAGATCCACCTAGGGAAGTTGGATAACACTAATTCTAAACCAATGGTGCATATGGGCTCGAGGTTCCTAAGGGAACAAATCGCGTATGAGCCTATCGTTGGTCACAAGCTACCATGGGACTGAATCTCTCAACGTTGCGTCGCTGCCTCGGGAATTAGACCTGTCTGTTGTGTATCTGAGGTCCACATTCAAGACTAATGAATTATTACACACTCACTACATCTGTCGCTTTGAAAAGCTTGTTCCGCGTGCGCTTTCGCAGGGACCTTGTGATATATTTGCCTGGTTTTACTACTTGTCATTATTTCATTCATACACTAGTTCCCACTTAATGATCTTTCATATCATACTTTACTTTTGCGACACGGTTACAACCTTAACTTTATTGTGGCGCACATATATTTAGTGTCCCTTTGTATCAGTGTTTTTGTGTTCAAATAAATAAACAACACTGGTGGGCGCAAGAAGGCAAGACGAACTATAATATAGACGCCCAGTTGTTTTAGACAGATGAACAAAAGTTGATGAATCTGACTTGAAGGAAGCTTCACGAAGTACTATTTTAGAGCATACAAGGGTCAGACAGAGCCTCCATACTAAGATCGAAAATATTATCGGAGAATGACTGAAGACTGGGACGACTAGCGAGGACAAGCATGACATGACTATGCTTAGACTCATAAGCTTAACAAGCCTAAAACACCAAACTACCACCTAAAAAGAAAAGTCGAGTTGGCCAGCTAATTGGTATGGCATCAAGTCAGATATGATGTTATAAACTTGAGTGGGATGACATGTCCTAGGAAGAAGTGAGATCTCGTAGTTATCATTATGATGAAACATTTACTTGAAGTAACAGCGGTTTCGCGTTATACCAGTCTTAACCGAGAAATGCTACTTCCTTACACCAGTGACCTGATAGTACTACTGTAAGTCCTCAAGGCCACAAGCCATGAAACTAGTCTATTGCTGGTAATGTTACTAAGCATTTGCAATCTAACAGCATAAATTGTTTTTAGGTTATAAGGTGCGGCAATTATCTATTAATAGTTAGGAATAATTGCTTCTTCAGTAGATAATTAAGCTTATCAGTAAAAAAAAGTCGGAAAGTCTACCTGGAAAGTTGTAAGGTATTGAGGCTGAAAAGGTCGCAGTAATGGGAATGATTCTTGCCAATTGCATCTAACTCGATACAAGTCAACTGGCGGGAGAACATTAGGGAAGCGTCTTTGTAGGTCTGAGAACAAGTATTCTTTCACATTCAGCATACGTTTGGGGTTGATCGGAGTCCTACAATACAAGTCAGTCGTGGGAGAGGAGTGTCGCGTTGAAACAGAATCTACAGGAGTTCTTCTTCGATCACGATTCGGAGATTTTTTGATTGAGTGGTCATCTCTAACAACGAAGATAAAAATAACAGCACAATACCTGTTGAGAACATGAGAACGCTTCTTATCTACTCGTCGCTGATCGCCGCTGGATGGATGAACATCTCGCTCACGTGATGCTGGTTTAGTGTAGTTATCACGTGGAGAGTGTTTACGCGGGGACTGGCTCTTCCAGTAGCTGCTTTCTTCTGCTTTATCTCTAGATTTGCCGCGACGTTCCTCAACCCGCCAGACTTTTTCGGCACTCCACTTTATAGGCATGTGAGGTTGATAAACTGCGCTTGCAGCAACATTATCTCCTACCTCAACCATAGGACCAATTACACACCTTACGTCTTAATACAAAGCAAGTTAATAGAAACTTACTTTCTCTGGAAAAAAATTTCGTTATTAATATATCCGAATGTAGGGTACATCTTAGTGACGTACCCCACCAGTTGGTGAGAGGAGGATTCGGCTGTCATTATGGAGCCAGGTGTTGTGGCGGCAAACATCACGGAAAATACTGAGCGCCAAAAGTTACAAACAAAACCGCCATGTGCAAATGAACAAATGTTTCGTAAACAAAATATTACTAAATGCTGAAAATTGCAACTCTTATTTTCTATTCAGAATCAAGAACTGTGAAGCAGTGTTTGATTAGTTCACCGCGCTATTGGAATAAAGTGAGCTACACTGCGGATGTCGGGCAGACATGAAAAAGATAGAAAAATCCCTGTAGATGATGAGGGTATTCTTAATTGTGTGATAGAATATGCAAACGTTAACAGTAAATCTCGGCAGTTCGTTCGGTCCCAAGTTATACCGGATGATCAGTCACAATTATGTACTCAATATCCGTTGTGTCTCCAAAATTCCCGCGTTCTGAATAACGATTGCGGTGATACGTGTATGACTAGAAATATTGACTCTAAAAGGCATGGAGATTCTGTAAGCGAAGATCCATCGAAGTCTTTTGTCTTTTCAAACATGTCACAATTTGGAAATAAACAAATACTTGGAGATGAATTTCGGACTTCACATTCGGTTAAACGTCCTTATGAGTCATTCTGTTTAGTTTCAAACTCTTCTGCAAAGCGAAATTGCTGTACTGTTGGGAAAGATGAATGTGAAGAACAGTCTCATGAACCATCGACATCAAATAATCAATTTGACAGCCTAGCTTCTCGTGGCTTCGATTTATCTTCGGAAATCAGAACTACAGCTCGAAGGTCAGAAAATCATTCTTTACCTTTGGCTCACAATTTAACCTATGAAATCGGAGTACCAAATGAAGTCCCGGATGTTGCGCTAAAACTAACAGAGAATAAATACAGGTCTGACCGTAAATCGCCTCCTTATTGTGTAGCTCATTCATTCACGATGGCTGAAATGGAACAAGCTAAAAAGTTAGAAAAGGATGAAAATCTTATTCCGTCTTTTTCCCCCCTCAGTAAATCTCGGGCTCCTTCTTCGACAGTTTCACCAGAATCTTCATATGGCAACTCTGTAGTTTCAAGTAAGCTTGTCCCTATTAAAGGAATTATTTGCCTTGTTATTTTATTCATCTTCACCTAATATGTATTCAGAATTACTCCTAGCCTTCGATAATAACCCTAACTTAGCAGACATAAGAGTTATCGAGTCCTCACAAATATGTCCAAACTATTGTATATGGCTGGAAACCGACCATATAGATTTTTGTTAATTATTAAGTGTCTTTGTTCGCAAGACTCGGACATTTGAAATAATATCTACACTAAAAAGTAGATGTCGAATTTGTACGTGCACGTACATCATGATGACGAAATATATTTTCTGGTGTAATAGTAGGTCGAAAGGAAATTAGGGAGGGGTCCTTTGAACTGAACCGTGCAGATGGATGCGGAATAACTGGTTGGTGTTGGTGTGATTATCATAACTAATGATTGACGACAAGTGACATTAGACAGAATCAGTCTAAAATTAGTATGCGCACTCACTTTGTTTTCCTGTGACCTGTTTTTTTAAATTATCGTGTATTTTTTTATTCCGTAATGTTCTACCACCACTGGTACTGTTTCTAGTGCTCTAAAATTTGTTTTGGTAATTACATCGTGCACTGATATAGCGTGTCAACTCGAATCAATGCATATATGGGCTAAGTTCTAAGTTGCTTGTAACTTACTGTTGAGGTAACAACGATGTCTGTTTCCCCTATTTCGAATTTCTCTATTGATCCATTTTTAAATACATACCTGGTATGTACTTAGTTATATCAATTTAAGTGTCAATGATAACCTGGATTTTACATCTGTAGTTTGCCGCTTCGTATATCTTATAGTGAAATCTCGTAATATAAAGATTAACAGATTCTTCAATTAACCATAATTCGCTAATCGACATGTATGAAATAGGTGTATTCATCATTATTTGGATTGCCAATGAAAAAGTTCTCAAAAGGATTTTGATATTTCCTGCGGTAAAAATACTTCATTTTACCTTGTTTCTTCTGAGGCTTATATAGCGGTTCAAAACGTACTTAAGCTACCTTTGGCTTCACCTAATTAAGTGGTTTTCAATAAGTAACGGATACTCACAATTCGCCCAAGGGTTGGTCTTAGATCTAAATATTACATCAAGCTTATTGAAACTCAGTTTCAGTTTGGAAAGGACAGGAGGCTTGATGACCTGCATTAGCCCTGGCAATGGTGGTCTCTCAGTTAATCCAACTTTCTTTTGAATGAATCGACGGATGGAGCCTCAACCACGTGCTGAGGTAATGAATGCCGCTCGTTGATGATTCGGTGGGAACGTCGATAGTCAGCTGACATGTAATTTGTTCTGGGCTCGTGAACTTTTTCGGAGTATTCTCGTAAATTCTCTGTTTTTGAAGACAAGAAAAATGAGGGCATATCAGGTGCAAATTTGGCAATAAGCAATTTGAAAACTGTAATCAAATCGCCTCTAGTTCTACGATATGACAACGGGAATAGGTTTAGCTTGGCCAGTCGAGCATCATACGGAAGCTTCGCTATTCCGGGAATCAGCTTATTTGCTGTTCTCTTAACCTTTTCCAGAAACTCATTGTCGTTTTTTAAGCAGGGGCTAGCCGCTTGTATGCAGTACTCAAGTTTAGGACGTACGAACACTGTATATAAAGTCAAAAACGTCTTAGCGTCGACATGTCTAAAAGCCCTACGTATTGACCATAAAGTTCTAAAACCTTTGGCAGCTATTGCGCTGCATTGTGCAGTAGTCTTTAAATCTTGGCTAACGATGACTTCTAAGTCATTGTGTCTGGACAACAGGTAGCTCAGTGTTATTCATCGTGTATGTATCTGTACCTTGATGACCGATATGCATCACAACACACTTGGAAGTATTTATCGGCAACTGCCAGGTTTGAGACTATTCAGATAATTTCTGCAGGTCATTTTGGAGTTCTAAGCTATCACCCTCATATCGTATCGTTCTCCATATCTTGACATCGTCAGCATACAGCAAGAGCGATGATAATAGGAGACGAGGAAGGTCATTTACATACAAGAGGAATAGCACTGGCCCCAAAACTGTACCCTGGGGCACTCCACTAAGCACAGTTTCCCAGCTAGATAACTTTGAGTTCACCCGAACTCTTTGTTGGCGCCCAAATAGGAAGTATTTTATCCACATCAATAGATTGCCTCCGATTCCGACATTTCTTAGCTTATGTAACAGCCGGTTGTGCGGAACCTTGTCAAAAGCTTTGCTGAAATGAACGAAGGCTACGTCTATAGGTAACTTTTGGTCCTTAAGAGCGCACCAGCTTTCACGAGCCACTAATAAGTTAGTGAGACAAGAGTAACCTATTCTGAAACCGTGCTGCTTCTCCGAAAGGATCCGGTTTTTATCGAAATACTTAGACAGCTCCTTCTGAATAATCTTTTCTAAGATTTTAACAACCACACCAGTTAGGATAACGGCTCGGTAATTCCCAGGTTTACGTTTCGTACCTGTTTTGGAGACAGGACTTACTATGGCGTTCTTCCAGTCTTTTGGTAAACGACGGATAGATTAAAGCATATGCTTAAAGGGTTCGCAACGAAGTTAGATAATTCCTTCAGTAGCCCAGGATGCAATTCATCGAGCCCCGTGAATCTGCGTATGTCTAGCTTATTTAGCAGACCAAAGACATCGAGTTTTTTAATTGTCATGCTATCCAGTGTATGTGTGGGGGGAATTGTATGAAGTGACGACAAGGGTGCTTCTATGGTATATACATTGCTAAAGTAGTTCGAGAACACGAGCCTTATCAAAGTCGTCCTCCACTAGTGACGCGGCAGTACTGTCTCCCCATAGTGCAGGAATATTTCCTCTCCTTCTGTCCTTTGATTTATATGGGAATACAAGCGTTTAGGAACTCGGCTTTCACCGTGAAGCGTCATAGTTCTTCTAAATGAAGACCTTCTAACTTTCAGGACAGAGTTTAAATGGTTTGAATAATTTTTTCTGGTAAGCGTTTTTTTAGCGAGTTAGTTTTCTACGGGATGGGAACGCTAACCCCATGCCCAACCCTCCTCCTTTACCCGGGCTTGGGACCGGCAGTAACTCCGGAAGAACTACAGGCGGCGGATTCCTTAACACTTTTTTCTTCATACAACTTTCTAGACCTACGGAGGGTCGAGGCATAGGTATTCCGAGCTTTTCGATACTGAGATTTTGTCTCATCAGTCCCCAGTAACCTAAATCTATCCCACATTTTTCTTCTCTTACGGAGAAGGATGCGGACCTCCCTACTGAACCATGGTGGAGAGTTTCACGGCCCCCTTGGTATATTCCAAGGGATGTAGGGTGTGGTAACTTTTAAGTATAAATTTCAAAATGCGTCCCAAGCCGTTTCAATTGAGGACTCTGTGTCTATTGTCCAATCTACTAACGATGCTGAGTGCATGATATCTGGTAGGTTTGCTTTCCAAACTTTAGGTCTAGATTGTGCTAACGCGTGCTCGTGAACTGCGTGATCACTTTTACCTAGGGTTGGTATGTAATGGAGGTTTGCAACGTCATACTCATAGTGAGTGAGTATCAGATCTAGTAAGTATGATTCAGTATCCTGGTCGTACCTAGTCGCTTCTTTCACATGTTGCACTAGAGCACATGTGATAACCGCATCAACTAGTTCCTGCTCGAAGGAATTTTCTGACGATTCAGTTCGCAGATTTTCCCAGTCTACCATAGGTGCATTAAAGTCCCCTAGGATTAGACATCGACCACTTTGTGACCAAGTATTGAGACTGCTTAGCAGGACTTCATTTACCTCACAACTTGGACTGCGATAGAACAAACCAATCAGCAGCTCTTGTCCCTTGCATTTCAGGCGGAGACTAACTAATCCACACGTCCCACTCTCATGGGATACACTGTCGATAATGGCAAATAAGATAGCATTCCTAATGAATAGAGCTACTTCCCCTCCTTTACGCTTTTGTATTCTGTCGGCCCTTACTAACGTAAAACCCTCGAAATCAAGTTCCATACTATTTGTAGCCTGTGTCAGCCAGGTTTCTGTAACTGCGATTATGCCTGGCTTTGTAGAGTCAATCTGTACACCTAGTTCCGATCGCTTATTAAGTAAGCTCCGGGCATTAGTGTAGCAGATCCGAAATTACCGCTTGAAACCGATCGAGCCTTGCGATTGTGGCTTCTAGGCGTTTCCTGTGGGATCCCATCTGGGAGACGGGGAACAGAAGAGCCTACTTTCCTTCAGCTTTTGTTTAAGGCAGGCCCCTTTAGAGACTGCTTTTCCTTCTTTGGCCGGCGTGAGTCATCTACTAAAGAACTAACCGTAGTTTGCTTCATTTCGATTTGTGTGTCGACAGATCGAGTGCTGTGTGACGTGTTCCGACTACGCTTGCTAAAACACTTCTTTGCAGCATCAACCAGTGAGATGGCCTCGGTTAACAGGCTGTTTGCATCCGAACAGCACTGTTGACAAAGCCAGACGCAACCCTTCTTACTGAACCGTTTGAAAGCCGCAGGCGTTAAGTTCGTGCAAACTTCTTGGTACCAGCTTTTGCACTCGTCGCACTGCATGCCGCTTTCAACGGGATAACGACAACCCGGACGATTTCAACTGCTTTTTTTACACTGTCCGGTCATTTAAAAGGAGTCCTTTTCAAAAAGGGACGAGATGCGATGATACTCAGAAACCAAAAATAATCAATGACCAAAAAGCAAAGAACTGTAGATTGTTAGGACCAAAAGTACTAACAGATACAATTGAAAATGAGGTACGCAAGAGTAGCAACGACAAAACTAATTGAGAGAACGGTAAAAACGGTACCCTTGTCGAATACTTTGACTGAAATGAATTCAATTAAATTGAAAACAGTAGTCTTGATACGTAATAAACGATCAAAACAATGAAATTTACTCAGTGAGGAGAAATACCACTGTCCTTTTAATTTGCGCGACTGAAATATTTATTATTATTATTATTATTAGTCAATCCCTAGGTTTTATGTCATTTATGATGACTTCCGTTGTTTACTTAATTTTGTAGTTGTTGGTTGGATCCTTAGTATATAGCCTTAATAAATGATTGTTTTAGAAAAACTTTTAGGTGATGAATTTGCGTGTCGGATTAAATTTATTAATAACCTATTCTATACAACCTACACGTACTAACGGTAAAGAGATACTAACTATGGAAATTAACGTAATTTCTGTAATAGTTTAATCTTTGAGAAGTAGATTAACGGTTTGGGAAGTCACTCACGTCAAGCTGATAATTTTGCGCCAATAAATAGTTTATGTTTGCATTTTTAGGGTTTCAATGTTTTCAAGTTCTTGTATACTGCTCATAGTTCAGGTATTTCAGTCAATGAAATGCTATTTATAGATTGAAATAACAACTAAAAAGTGTGTTCGCTACTTTTTGTTATTTCCAGTTTCAAAACGGAATAGCATTTTTATTGGTTCCGCTGCACAACGTTCCCGTGATGTTAACAGGGACAGTTGTTTTATTCAAGAAGCTGTTGATAGCTCTGGTATTTATATACCTGGAGTAGATCTACTGATAGACGACTCTGAATGTGAGCCCATCGATCTTATATCTAGGTTCAGCAGAACTCCAATTTCTTCACCCAAAATAGTTGACCCCGGTAGCACGATATCATGTGCTCTTGCTGGACCTCTCTCTTCGTCTCATATCTTCAACCAGCTAGATTCCAATGTCGCACAAAGGTATATCACCAATTTGTTTTTTTATTTCCAAGGCTGATGAAATTACCAACTTGATATTCCAATAAATAAATGAGCTTTATTAGCAAACAATAAATTTTACAACCACAAATACTCTGGAAAAAAATGCTTTCCGGAAAATAAAATCTCACAAGATTGTTTTACCACAAAGTAGTAATTTTAATGGTCGTGCGTGGTGATTTACATGGCTTAGTTGATTCCAATTATATGTGTAATTCCTTATATTATAAGAATTGTGAGCAGGATCTTTTCATCAAAAATGTTGACTCATTTTCCCATCGAGTTTTATTTTAAAGTGTCCAAAAGCTAACTGACTCAGAGTACTAATGAAACACCAAATTTATGGTGCTGGTGTGTTAAACTACTGATTCAAATTAGTTGAGGTAGTTTATGGTTTTTAATGTGCAGTTTGTTTGCGATATCTTCGAACTGAGTTGTTTACTTAAAATTTGATGACTTTTTACTAAATAAAATATTCTGAGACCATATAAACACGTTTCCAGTATACGTCAAAATTTATCAACAATGTCCACCAAGTAATGCATATTTTAATAATAGTACTTTTAAAACCTAATAGATAATTTTTTCACTATCGTAAAAATTATGCAGTAACTAGTATTATCTAATGCTAGTATTATGCTAGAGTAGACTTGTCCGTCCCTACTATAATGATCTGAACGTTCTCTATATCTTAAAACTTAGAGTGACCTGTATGCTTTGGCGTAAACTTGTTGGAGTTACCACAATTTGAGATTACGTACTGTTAATTTGTGGTTTCATAATATCACAAGTAACTTATTGATGAGTCATGATTTATCTTAAACTCTGAGGCATCTAAGTGGTGTCATATTATCAATGAAGTAGATATTTCCCTACCAAATTAATAACTGATTATCTTAACCAAAACTAATTCCGGTTTTACCAGCAAGTTTAACTGTCAAACGTACCTGTTCTTCTCGTAAGTACATTGAGATTGTTGACGAGTTTTTTCTCGAAAGCTGAAGAGTATTTCTGTTGGTCTTTATGTAATTATTTTATCTATCTGAATTTTCATAGATATTCAGAAATGCTATTGTGTAAATGCTTAAATCTACTATTAGGTATTCAACTGAAGCTTTCCTTTTTTATCTAATTGTTCTTGATATTCAGTACTTCTTTTGTTTGCCTTAAAAAAGACGTACATCTTCGGCTGCTACATCATCGCTGAGTGCTGTTTCTGCCGGAATGGAACTGAGTAAAGCTACGAAGGTAGGTGATTTCTAGAAGCCCTTGCATTTGTTTAGACTCCATAGAATACCTCCATTTTTTAAGACCTTAGTTATTTTTCAATGGTCACGAGTTATGAATCCGAATATAATCAAAACTGGTATGACTTTTGTGGCAACACAAGTTCATCTGAGCATTACCAGCAAAAACCAAGAGGATTTCCAATCGGCTTGTTACCGATTTCTCTAAAAACATTATAGCGTTAGTTTAACCTAAAATTTAGACCATCACCAGAGCGTTGTTGCACGAAAACATTCCAACACTAGAAAATCCCAACCATATGTTCGAATTACTGATATTTAATCAGTCAGTTAATTTGTTATCAAGACACGGAGTAAAGAGATGATTGAGAGAATGCTCTGCACTTGTCATAAAAAATTAATTGTATAAACCGTGCCAAGTCTTTGGGAGATATTTTTTAATAAAATGTTTCAAGAATGTTTCCGATAAATCTTGAAAATTGTATGTACTACTGCATCAAAATATTCTGTTTACAGTCAGCCAAATGAATATTACACTATTGAGTAAAATATTTATATTTATCCCAAGTTTTATTTGAAGTTTTTACTGCATATTATGTTCGAAGGCATTCTGTTTTTTGGATAACTCCAGGAACGTTGCGCACAGCTAAGGCAACGTCGGCGAGCACAACCAACTGAAAGACAACCATTACCTGCTTTGCATCTGCACCTATCAAAAGATGGTACAAGTCCCCTGCCTCCAGGGTGGCAAAGAGCACCAAATACTAGGCGTTCGACAGAAGGGCAAGATCTAGGGGATAGTTCTGGCACATATGCTTATTATTATTACCATGTCCGAACTCGTCAAACTAGGTGGGATCCACCTGTATATCCATGGGACGCCGATCCTACGGATACTCTTCTTGGTGAAACCGGAGAGGATGACCCGGAAGCTCCTTACAATTGGGGATGTGCGTCGCGATTCGCTGTCACACACGAAGAAATTGAAGCTGTAAGCCATGCTATTATATTCTTGTGATTATGTTACTGTGTATAGTTTTATTCATTCTACAATTACTATTCAATGGAGTTCGTAGTACTGAATTAAGTCTGTTCTACTTCATCCATCATTCTTCAAGTACAACTTGGTAAACAAGTTTATTTTCTCGCCTTGGAGCATCTCCAAGACCATACGGCTTCGAATGTTGCTTCTGATGTCTCACGACCTCAACTTGAATTGTTCTTAATTTACATCCAAGTTCTTTTTCCTCTTGCCCTTATTTAAACGGTGTTGAAAAGTCAAACGATAAACTGAAGCTTGTTCTGTGTTAAAATTTTTGTCTATAGTTCCAAAACTCACTCTTATGCACAAAAGGAATTCTTTAGAACCGTTTGTTCTGCTGTACAAAAGCCAATAATTTCCAAACCGAACTTATGTTACAGATGTATAATCGCGTGCGTCAACGAATATTGGAACGTCAGTGCATTGATCTTCTGCATGAATTGGCAGGCAGACCAGATGCTCCTCAGGATGTAACTGAACAAGGCTTTGCCATGGAAGTTAGTCCTTTTATTTTTCTCATGTGTTACTTTTTTGTAAATTAAACACTCCTACTGTTAAATCAGAGACGTGCGAGTAATTAGAATAAGGTGTTTTATCCACTTGGAGTAACATTTTAAGGAAGGCCAGGCTATGAAGACCGTATTGCATGTATGAAGTTATTAACTGATATAACGTGTGTAAGATAGCCTCATCATTACAAGCTAGATTCAAGAACTGTTGAATATGTATGATAATTTTATCCAAACACCTAGATTACTATGGACCACAGCTTGTCATGCGAACTTGGACGTAAACTACACTTACGTCTTATAAAATTCATGAGGATTCTTGGAATTATCGGCTAAATAATCTGTTGTTTACCACCTACATATAGAATCGGGCGACTTATTTTGATAAATAGCATAATCGGTTTTTTAAAAATACATTAAAAATATTGCGACTGGCTAGATGAACAAACTACAATATTTTTATTTCAGTTATTCACTTTGGTCCACAATACGTTACGTGGCTTTCGTGATGCTCGATGTAAACTTGGTCGTATTGTTAACGATGAAGATTTATACTACTTAACAAAAAAGGTAGTTTATTCACTTTTGCTGTATACGATTGCTCTTTATAAGAATTCAGTTTTATACAAATGCTTTTAAGGGATCAGTCGTTAAGGAACCAGTTTTTTAAGATTATCCATTGTTGGAATAATCATGTCTTGAATCAAAATAAACCACACTATTGATTTCAGTAATTCATTGTGCGATATGTTTTAACATTATGAAATTACTGCCGAACCTACTAAGTCATTCCTATTTTTCCAGCTTGCTCAGGCCGTAATCCTAAAAGAAATACAGAAATTTCATCAAGCCCAGGCAGCGAACACTTCTTTATTTTCAACTGTTCTTACTCCTGAACTTCCTTCGACAGTGCGATCAAGAGTTACCACTTATGTTAGGCGATACATGGAGTCTAAGGGAGCATTCTATCGTCGCCGAGTTCAGCTAATACCTGCAACAGGTATTTCTCGTCCGGAACAGGCAGCTCATCTAAAACCAGACCCTGCTATTTTTAAGCCATCTGTCAACAGTAGCATGCGTTCTCGACCTGTAACGCATCCTCAGAATTTCAGCAATGTATCTCACCATACAAATTATGTAGACAATGCTTTTTCGCAATCTGCTCCTCCCATTAATACTACTGCAGTTATTCCAGCACGCCGCTAACAACTCAAAAGTATTGCTTCCGTCAATAATATCTGTAATTGTATATTTTTAGAGGGTTCCTTTATTCAAGTTGCTATTTTGGATTTCTATCCACTTGTTGCTTTATAGTTAATTTCCCTATCATAGTGGTCAAGTCTAAGACAGGTGTTAGCACCGCATATTTTATCGTCCTGCCCTACATGAAAGTGGTTATGTCGGATACTCGACAACTAGCTTGCGCTTTAAATATGGAAATTATTAATTTTTATTTAAGTCTTTTGTAAATAAACTTACAAACTGATTCCTTTGCAAGCTCTTTAATGTTATTTTTTTCCCAAGTCTATGTCCGTATGTTGTTATTGCCCAGTAATCTCATCAAGTATGCAATTTTCCTGTTTTATAACTTTTGCATGTATTTAATAAAAAATGCAACGGCAGGTGTGATACAGGTGTTAATATGAGATTTGTACTATTGATTTGTAATAAAATTGTAATGAGAATCTATATTTTGTAATTTTTTTTACGTTTCCGATGTAATAATACAATTTTGGTTATGCTGAAAGTTTGTATTGTGATAGTGTCCTAATTTACTGCGATCATCATTCAGAATGTGGATTCGGTGGTGAAATCATTACAGTAACAGTAGAGATAGTCTAAAATCAACGATAGCAACCTTATTCGTTAATTTATTGTAGAAAAGGTACACAGAAAGTATTGATAATGTACACAACACTAATAGTTGATTGTTCGAAAGCATTTCAGTAGGAGATTATATTATCTCCATATCCATCCTAGTAAGTCCAGCATAAATTTCACTTGGTAGTCTGTGCGGAATACGACCAACATATGCTATCAAGGCCTTTGCTCTGGAGCGAATTTCAGAAGTAGCCATTTTTGAAGTGCTGTCCGCTCGCGTTCCATTACTAAAAATGTTTCAATAAGCCAAGTGGGTACGAACATTAAACATTTTTATCGAGTTAATAAAAAGTAGTTTCAACATCTATTTGATTTATCACGGAACTGACCTTGTGACAGATGTAACTCGACCACACTTCGCTGATAAGCAACGCATTAAAGCATATAATGCCCACGGCAGAGGGCGGCGTACAAGATCTGGGAGTTGCGAGAACAGCATCGCACAAAATTCTACATTGGAAGCTTGCGAATTAATTGGGAATAAACCCAGCTGATCTATGTGGTCAATAGCTGCTTGCCATCTTTCTGCATCAACTAAGTCGAAGAACGCGGCCAAATCGAGGAGGTAAAATAATATTTTTATAGCCGAGGTAGATCCAGTCACACTTGTTTCAATGTCATTTTGGATGAGATGATTACTATCATCTGATGATAAGCCTAGTCGGCGGACTTTATGAGCAATCTGTTTAGCAAGAAGACAGTTGAAATAATTATACTGTTTAGGTCGTAAATATGAATTGATACACTTACTTTAACTTGAACATTAAATCGAAAAATTTTCCTCCCTATTACATTCCTATTTTTTATAAAAACTATTCACAGGAGCATAGGGACACTTTTTGAACATGATCACTACTTTAGTGTGATTCAGTCAAAAAAGAGAAATAATTTGTGAAAATATATGTATATTTTAAGCAATCTGGTATCTTCAACACTGCGCACATGTCCAGAGTAATACAAACTATTAACTTTGGATGCATTCATTAACACTTGTTAAATAAGTAGAATATATTTCCGAGCTCTTATGAGGCTTCATTATGAAAACATTCATTACACTTTGTTTACCGATTTTATATTCGTTTAACTTGTACTTATTTAACTATAAAGATAACCTTTTTCCCAGACAGACTGTAATAATGACTGTTTTCCCCTGTCGAGATCTTGATGTTCATGCACTAGGTATATCGCGATGCTGAAATTATCGAAAATACTAATTGCTGAAGACGAACATAATTACTCTTGAATATTAAGTTTGGATGCGTGCCAAAGAGGAGTTTGTGACGATAATGTATACTAATCGACAATAATTATTAAGAACAATTAATGTATTTCTTCATCCTCAAGCCTTCAAGCACGATGAACATTAAGGTCCATCATGGTGGACAGATTGTAGTAAAATAATTATCATAACATGTACGAAATACGATAGTGAGAGCAAGCATACAAAAATGCAGAAAATAATGTTTCATGGAATTCTGTCTTACCTCTGTTGCAAGTCTCAGAAGTGAACTACGATCCAATTGTCCTCCGGATCGGGATTGTGTAATTGGTGTTGACCCAAGATCAGATGTTACTATGACACTTGATAGTACAGTATTTATCAAAGTAACAGAAACTAAAACGTCAGGTTTAGGATCTCCACAGGAAGAAGCTAGTAAATATAAATGAATAGCTTCAACTACTTGACCAGTGGACTCAAAAACATCAGCAACAGTACGGATCAACTCTCGACGGGATTCTACAGACCTGCAAAAGCGGTCGATAGCACCAGGCTAAAAGAACCGATATTTGTTAGCATTTATATGTTGATGTAAGAAAGGCATATTAATTAAACGAAATATCAGTTGTAAGATGGAATCTGAAATTATCTAGAAGGTGGACTATACTCAGGCACCTGCAGAACCCAGTAGCTATACCATCGATATTGGGACGCGTAGATCTTTGGAAGATGATATAGGATTAGGTATTATAATATAAACGAAACAAAAATACTCACCAATCTCTCAATTGTATTTTAAACATGCGACTTGACGTCGAATATTTTAACATCCCTGATGAACAGTTAAATGTACTAATTTTACTTTTTATGTGCATTATACATCTATGATATAAATTACAACTTTCTTAAGTTAGATAAATGTACTTGGACATGTCAGGAAACACGTTTGTTCCCGTTATTCAACACTAAACTGGTAAATGATACATAATGGCTCGACCACACAATTTAAAAAAGCGTTCTCAGTGCTGCGAAATAGGTCGAAACCGAACTCGCACTACGTCCTCATTAACTATTCGGCCCAGACGTCGACAGGTGAAGGCAATAAAAAGCATGTCTTATGGTAAATACGACTGATGGCATGGCGAAGAACAGGTGTGCATTTATGAGAATGTGAGTTTCGGAGCGCTACGCGAATTCAAGATGACTCGAAATTTTAATTTTTCTAACTGATTCTTATCTCTTTTTGAAGACATATTGCATTTCCCAACAGTATTACAGCTTGTTACAGCCAGAATACTATCACTTCAATAGAATATATCAAAAAAAGAGGTTAGTTATCTACAACGTTATCTAGTCTCAATAGGTTAGCCATCAAAAAGTGACAGGTTCTACAAAACATACACACAATGAGGATCTCAGGTAAATTATAACTTACTTTGCGAATATCGTTTTCACCAACACATCCCAAGAGTAAATCTAACTGTAAACAGTAAAATGAAAGTACACTGGTTACGACCATGTAATACAGGTGAATATCGTTAAGTGGATTTTCAAAAAGCACTCAATTTAGTATATAAACTGCAGCACGAACTAATATGATTTTAGATAGAATGAATTCATGATTATCCATAGAAATTGGAAATCTGAAACAGTACATTATCTCGGTGTAAAAAAAGTGTTGAGTACCTCCCAACTAAGTTTTCGATTTAAGTCACAATCTGCGTGTATAATTTTAGTACACTTCAAGAAATTCGATTTAACTTTTTAAAAAGAAAAATATTAGTAACAATACATAACGGTGTTCGTTGTGAATTTAAAGCTGACAAAGACAGTAAGCATGATAAGTTTACAATAAAATAAGATAGTTCAGGACACAGTGAACAATTGTTGGAATACAATGTGCTGGACTATATGCAATGCCGATTGGTAATAAGAGGCTTAATTAAGAAGTAAAAAAAACTGTAGATAAGTTTTATAGTGATAGTAACGTATGTAAGAAAATCATTATATCAGCGAACAGAATAACATTGAGCATAACTGATAAAAATGTACACTCATTTTTATTATTAAAACAAAAACAAATCTCCATGTAACGGAATGTTATTTTGAAAGTGAAAAACTGTAACAGCATACGTCTATATGATAGCCAATTGTGGCAATTGAATAAATGCTTTTCCTCACATTTAGAGAACCATACCTGAGATTTCTACTTGCAACATGTATTGGCGATATAACTTAATACACAGCGTCGTGACTTAACAACCTGAGATAATTTTTAGCGATAGAAAAGTGAGTTCAAGCAGATGGATTTATTTCATAAGTGTAACATACAACCGACTAAATAAATTGACTACAGAAACTCGTTAATCATTGCAAAGGTAGTAGAAGAATATTTCCATTTTGCATTACATGTATAGAAGAAACAGATCAACAGTCGAATATACTAATACTTATAGTTTAGACAAGATAGATTATGACCAGACAATTAAGTAATGAAACGTGGTAACTAGGTACACATTCATGAACTCGTCTGTGAGTCACAACTGGTGTGAAAAAGATGGTAATATTACCCGCCTGCTCAGAACAATGTGGAGCGGAGTAAAAGTTTGATTAAAATTTTAGTGCTTAGACCACTAACCGTTGATAAGCTATCGAATAAGTTCGAGGAATGAACATGTATCTTTTTTCACTAAGCAATTTGTCAAAATACATTTAGAATCTTGGAACTTAATAGGTTAGGAATCGTGATCCAACTATTAGTTTATACTAGAGAGTATTGCACGATACAGATCCCTGTAAACTATGTATATTATTTAGCAATAGGACTATTTAAAAAAACAGTTTCGAAAAACCTACCTCCTTGTTTGCTAAAGCCAATTCACAAACACATTGGACGAACAAATTTTGACCTTTAGCAGTCAAATGTTCGAGAGACGTATTGTATAGACCACTTGGAATAGTTGCATTGGAATCTTCTTCAGGTGACTTTTCAGTAGTAATTGGGATGTCAGAAAGCATGTAATAATACATAAGGGCTTTTTCTGGATCAGTGAATTCAAATTTCCGCGTATACAACATAATTAAACGAGCCAAATTAAGCCTGCGAAACCCTGTAGGATCGTAATCATTACGAACCACTTGGTATAATAAAAAAGTACAAAATGAAAACTTATTAACTACTGAGCTGAAAGATGAAAATTCTTGATATACTGCCTTTCTTATAAGTAAAAAACAGTTAAGGTAGAAATAATGTTAGGGAACATTAATCAACAATTCAGTCCGTAAAAATAAATTTTAGAGCAAGCTAAAAGCTCCTAAAAAGCTAATTATGGTGTAGAAAAATTGACTTAAACTATATTCGTACTAGGCGGTTTACTAAGACTATCATTATAATACACTAACAAACCCACGTTATAGAGACTAATGTCTAAGCCTATTAGATGGCAAATTTAAATATAAACTAATTCACAATCTCAATAGGGAAAAAATTCAGAAAATTATCTTTATGATAACTTTATATTCAGTTGTATTTGAAAGTTATACTTCCCACTTTATTTGTTGAAACAAACATGGTTTGAGTGAGAGCTAAGTGGTTTTAGGAATATATGCATTGAGAAAAAAAAGATAAAACTGAACCTCATTCAACA